AACCCAGGACCTTGTACTTGCCAGGCAGGCACTTATGCTGCTGAGCTATCTCCCTGGCCCCATAGCAGACTGCGTGTTAGATGATATTAACCAATGTTTATGTAGATATACCTTCCTATATATAATTTATATACATATATTACTCCTTTTTTTTTACCAGCTCCAGTTTAACTGCATCTAGATTAATGATACACAAATTATATGAATAAACAATGGACATTATAGTGTTATCAATGTGTCTAAAAAAATTTAGTGGATGCCTATTCTGTAGATAGTGTGTAGGGATAATTTCTTTTTAATTGTAGTACTCCCTTTTTTAAAGGGTATATATGTACACATATTACACAGTGTACATTCATCATTATACCTATCTCAACTGTGTTTTTTATGACAATGATTTTTAAAACTACCATAAATGAAAAAAAGTCATAAAGGTATCAGACTTAAAATATTCCAAAACAAAAAGTCTATATTTATTGAATATTTTTCAGTGTCTTTATTTTTTTAGTGGTCAATAAATGACATGTTGACCTGAAAGCCATTATTACTGGAGTGGCAGTGAAATTATAAAATAGTGGGGTTTTTGCTTATGTTTTAGGAACAAAGATACACAAAACAGAAGATTTTATTCAAGTGATTGAAAAGACTGGGAAATCTTGCAATTTAAAACATGAAAATGAAGTTAATGGACTGAAAGAGGAAATAAAAATTTATATGGACCATGCTAATGAGGTACATACCTGCTTTTAGGTTTTCTGTATCAACCAATAATGATTATAAATTTCGTAGGTGAAATATTGACAGAAAACACTCTTCTTTTAAAATAGGGTCATCGTATTTGTTTAGCACTGGAATTTATAATTTCAGAAGAGGAAAAGAAAAGTAGAAGTGCACCCTTTTTTCCCATAATTGTAGGAAGGTAAATGTTTGAAAATCTTAAACATGTGACTAAAATGAATGTGTGGGTTTTTGGTTTAGTGTTTATGTTATAAATATTCTTGAGTTTTTTGTATCTTGAAAGCTTTAAGGGAATATATTTGGACACTGCTTTCTCTTTCAGAAAACCTGGTTGTATTAACTCACCTAAGGCTTTACCATCTGTGGATTCAAACTGCTCCATTAAAGACGAACCATCTTTAAATAAATTGGTCTTGAGCAGTGCTGTCTCTCCAGCACAGGCCCCAGTACTTAATCCTTCCGTAAGTAAATGTGTGCCACTTCTGTCGTTTAAGCCATTCGGTGATTGCTAGATGCCCTTCATACGTCTACGGAGGGAGAGGTGTGGCTTAGAGAGAGCGGGCCTGCTTAGCTGTACAGGTCTCTGGTTTGATCCTTTGTACTGCCAAACAGAAAAAAGAAAAATAGTGAGTGTCTTAGTTACTTTTCTCTCGTTGCTGGGACAAGTTCCCAACACTCAAAATGAAGGAAGGAAAGGTTTATTTAGCTCACAGTTACTGGAGGTTTCAGTCCATACTCATCGGGGTCCAAGGCAGAGAAGCACAGAGCAGAAAGCAACCTTTCATGGCAGCGGCAAAGAGCAAGAGTTCAAGGGAGAGGTAGCAGCAGCTCAAGCAGCTAGCTTCTCTTCCCACCTTA